ACTTGGAGCTTTTCAAATAGTTGAATTGTTCAACATGTTGCACTTTCACTTGTGTTTTCTTTCTAAAGTAAGACAAGTGCTTCAGTATTGGAACTACTAAAAAGATGAGCATAGTGTCACTCTTAGTTTATGGGCATTTTGTAATCAACCCGTTCTACAACATGTGGCTTTCCTGCAGGTAAAAGTGCAACCAGAGACCCTTTTTTGGTGAGGCAAATGAGGAGAGAGCAGCAAGTGTGGACCAGAATATGATGAGACACTGGACTGATTAGCAAGGACAGTTTCCAGAACTGGTGTTTGCCCCTACATAAGGCCATGGGGAAGCATGAAATAGATGTGCTCTGAAAGCCATTTGGGGAGTAGTACTATCACTAATCAGAATTGGAGGCTCAGAAATTATTTGGTTTAAATTCCTTGCTAAGAAAAAAATGATTCCACACATGTTTGGCAGGTGAGAATCTGCTGTGTGCTTAGAGGATTTCAGTCCCTTGTAGGATACACATTCCCTTGCTGGTCAATTGTGTGGGTTTCTTAGGATTTTTCTATGTACTAAACTTCGCAGCTTGAAACAATACAAAGTATAGAGTTAGATGTTCAGGAATTTTTTCTGAATTATGAGGTTTAAAATTAAACATAATTTTCTAGAAGTCATCTAAAAAAAACACATTAGGCAGAACTATATTTTTTTTGTTCTATCAAACAGGCTTTTCTGAAGATATTCCAGGACTGATTTTATTATAGCTACATCACACTGGCAACTAAAATTCATTCTTAATAAAATCAAATACTTGAACTACTATTTCATTCATAGCTACCAAGCCCTTATTACCAGGACTCCTCACCTTTTATCTTAGTAATAATTTAAAACTACTGAGGCTTGCTATATTGTATTTTAGCAATTCCTCTCTCACAATTCGGCTTGGAGAATATTTTAAATCTTGATTCCATCACTGATGTTGTTATGGTTCCCTCACAGGTAGATGTCAGTTGGAGATTGATAAGCCTGCCTTTACCCAAGTTGTTAAAAACATCAACAAGTAACAATAGACAACCAATAGGCCTACTTTAAATCTTTGGTATTTACTTGGGTGAAGACCTTTAATGGAACATAAGAAATGTAAACATTGTGTGAAATAATCTAAATGTTCACATTTCCTGATTACCAATGCCACATATTATTTGGTTTAATGATGGCAGAACTCAAGCAATTATCATTTCTCAAGTTTTAATCAGAGAAAGGGGAAATCCACTTAACACAATTTCACCTAATATATGTCTGCCTGCACATTCCAATTTGCACATCATAAATGCAATGTAAATGAAGCCCTTCTTTTTCATAGCATTTTCTACATTATATATATATGGCTCTCATAAAACTTGTGAATCAGGGTAAGTGGTTTTGTTTGGGGGGCAACTAGCAAGGTCCAAAAATATTTCCATACCATGTAGCTAAAAAGAACTCCTTGACTACAGCCCAGATCTTCTGCCTTTGAGTCCTTTGACTCCTCTACCATTTATCAGAAGAAAATTACTATGATGTAAAATTCTTACTTCTAAATTCTGTGTCCCCACACAAAGCAGCCATTTTTTTTCCATTTTGAGCTACTCCCATTTGGGACCTAATAAGGTGCCTGCATGGAAGGGGAGCCCTTTGGGTCTGTGACTCATGTAAGTAAAATCAGCACTTAAGACTCCAGTGGGGCTGAAATGAAGACCATGCTCAGAAATTATGGGAAATATCTTTGGTCAGAGGACCCTGACACAGAAGCAGATAGAAGCAGATCTATGCCTCCAGATCTGGCTGATGGACAGAAGATGGAGTGACTTTTTTCCCCAGAAGGGTGGCAATGGTAAATCAATAGCTGTCATTCATTGAAACTATCCTCACTTTTCCTGTGGAGCTTTAGTAGAAGAAAACTCAGGCATGAATCTATGCGTGTGTTCACACACACGTGCATGCACACACATATATACATATATGCACACTTGAAGGCTCCCATGTAACTTTATGTGGAGAAATGCACATATTGTAATGCCTTCTTAGAGGATTTGAAGGAATTGCAATACGTCCCAGGCTCTGACAAGCCCTGTTGTTATCAGCCTACCTTTTCTACCTAGCATCTCTCATATCTAAGCAATCATGACTAAAAAAGGAGACTTTCATGTATTTTCTCTTAACAGTGTTGTTCTACAGATGCTTTTCAAAGCTACACTACTATGGTTAATGCTCATCTCAATTCTGAATGGCAGCCATCACTATCCCCAATTTACAAGCGACTCGGGTTAGATAATGGGTCTAATAGAACCAAAATACAAGCCCAAGTCAGCCTAAGGCCAAACCCATTTCCTGGGCATCATGAGACACAGCCTGAGGGCTTGAGCTCATTGAGGATCTGGGTTGTGAAGGACCCTGTGGATTGCCAACGTAGCTGTGGGTTCTAAGGGAAAATTTACAGGTGAGGAGAAAAGCTGCCCCTGATTGGAGGGGCTGAGAGAAGCACCTGAACAGGGCACAGGTTTGGGACAAGGAAGGTGAAAGGAAAAGATCCTGTTAGGTCATCATGAGGAGGGTGGGGAGTGGAGGCAGCAGGACTGTAAAGTCAGGTGTCTGTTCTCCCAGGCCACTGTGCAGGTAAAATGAGCCTCCCCAGCACCCAACACTGGCCCAAGACAATGAGCATTTAGCTGTCCCCTGCCTTGGAGGAGTCAGAGCCTGAGATCAGGAAACAGGAATGAGAACAGAGCTTAGGTCTCCAAGCTAATGCAATGCTTTCTACCTGTGCTGAGCTCAGCAAAACAGCCAAAGACTGCCCTTGAATAATCCACAGGCCTTCTCCATTTGTTTAGGGTTTTTCCTGGGTGTTTGATTGAGGGAATTTATCATTTTCTGTAGCAATGTCTACTTTCCACCTCAGATTCTCTCACGCAATCACAAACAGATTATTTTAAATGATGAACGTAAGTAGAAATCATGCTGGGCCTTGAAGGGACTTCACAAAAGGAAAAACAAGGGGGAAGCCACTAAGTCACTATTTGATAGTCCCCAATATGAACACTAAGCTGGGCCAGGATCACTCTAACCTAACGATTGTTTTTCAAAAAATTTACTTCCAAATTGTATAATCAGGCTATTACACACACACACACACACACACACACACACACATTTCCATCTTTTCTGGCTTCCTTGGGAAAAGCTATAGATTTGACAGCATGGAGCTCTAGACTTGAGATTGTCTGCGCTGAGTCACAGCTTCATGGTTGGCTTATGTCACCCCACCCAGTTACCTGAAGGCCTGGGGTAGGATTTGCTTCTGTCCTCTCTAGCCTAAAGTAAGATTTGGGAAGGAGACTCCACTGTCAGCTACCCTCCCCAGAATGCCCTGACCACAGCAAGTTATTAGAGCACTACTCAATAGACATTTTCAGTGGACAGCACTACAAGTGTTTGATCATCCACAGAAAAAGGAAGGCAACTCTGACATGTGGCCCATTCCTCAATCCTTTGGTTGCCTCATAAATGGGAGAATTAAAATCTCAAAACAACACAGAAAAGAATAAGAGCGACACAAGGATTTCAGAACCCCCCATCTACAGGCTCAAAAGCCATCAGCCCGGGCACAGAGTCCTTCAGCAGTGAGCACAGGTAAATAGATTTTTACTATTTGAATCCCACCAGGCTGAAGATTTTAAAGCACTGTACCTTTTTTGAGCCTGGTCCGATACAGTAATGCACAAACATGGGTTACACTCGTAATTTTCAATTTTCCAGAAACCCCACTAAAGGAAGTAAAAGAAGCAGGTGGAATTGATTTTCATAATAGAGTCTAGTCTACTCAGTCTACCTGAAATACCATTTCAATGTGTAACCAACATGAAAATTATCAGTAGGGTAATTTACTAAGTTCTTCTAAGTCTAGTGTGTATTTTATACATACAGCACCTTTCAATTTGGATCAGATAGCTGCAGACCTAATTGTTTATTGACGTTAGATTAATAACTAAGAATAGGTAGAGATTTCCCACCACTCTTACAAAGAAGCGGTGAGAACCAGATGAGAAGCTGATGCCCTTCTGATACATGAGCTGAGATCCTGGGTTCCTTTCAGCACCACCAGCACCCCAGGCACTGCTGTCCCTTCTTCGACTGTCTCTCCATTCTCCATCACCTCTTCTCATTGTCCTCATCAGAGACACTGCTGGAGTGTGGACAGACTGGGGTGTAAAGGGTCAAGGAATGGACTGGCTTTCCAGTCTGTCTCCTGTAAGCTGCTGACCTTGGACAAGTTACCTAACCTCCTTGGTCTCAGGTTTCTTTCCTATGAGATGGGTTTACTTCCTTTATAACTCAGTTGTGAGGATTAAGTGGAATCATGAATATAAATTCCTCAGCACCAAATGGACACCATAGAGTTTTTAAATTTTAGTGGATTTTTTAAAAGATTTATATATGTTTGAAGAAGGAGAAGTAGGAAAAGAGAATCAGAGAAGGAAGAAAAAATGTTAAATGTGCTGAAATCTCAGACTATATGTCGCTTCTTCAGCATGTGGTGCTAGAACCTTTCTTGGTCTAAGTAAAAGGGTGGCTTCAGCCCAGAGCTTCATAAGCCTGGGTGGTACATACATCCCCAGAGCAAAAGAATAAGAACAGAAAGTTTCAGTTTCCACTTGATTGTCCAATTCCATGGAGACCCAGGTGGTCAAGGGGGAGATACCTCCGTGGGCTCCATGGGGAGCACACCTTGGTGACTCTGCAGCGTGTCTTGGATGCTTCACACGGTCCACCACATGCCTTGGTGACATGAACTCTGCCATCCAGAGCCACAACTTGCTCAGCCCTGTAGACTCACCCACATTTATAAACGGTAGCAGACCCAAACCTTTGCAGGTCCTAGAACCAGCACCTTCAGTGCTGCAATCTGCCCCTGCTCTGGTTGAACACAGTCCCTGCCCACAGCCTTGGGCACTGTGAGAAAACATGAAGAGAGGGGAATACTCACCAGTTCATTTTCTTCCCCTTCATTGAGCAAAGCCCGGTGGTCCTTCTTACCATTCTCCATCTAAAACGGGGGGCAGAGAGTCCTTTCTGGCAGAGTGCGTGTGGAAACGTCAGAACCACCTGGGCGTCTGTGAACTCAGGCACTACTTGTCATTGCTGTTCTCAGGTGCTTATAAAATCCGCTGGCACCTTGCCTGTTAGACCAACAAAGAAAAGAAAGGAAAGCCTCTCCTCAGCCACAGGATTGGTCTGCTAATTTATCTGCTTGATGTGTGTTTTTTCTTCCCAGTGTTTATTTACTGCGCTGCATGTGAAGTGCCTCCAGACTTAAGGAATGATGAGAGGAAAAAAGTTGTTGAGCTAGAAAGCAATTTCACAGGCAGTCGATGAAAGTCCCTGCCAAGGAATGGGAATGGCCACTGTGCTAAAAACAGGAGACAGAAGACCAGCCAGTGGCAGACTGTAAAAACCCCATGGGATTTAGAGTGGTCCTGGGCACCTTGAGAGTGGCCTGTGGGGACTGGAGGAAGGGAGACTGGTTCACGGTGGGGAATCCAGGAATCCTTCTCGAATCAGAAAGTATTGGAGTTCTGATGCCTGTTCTACTGATGATCGTGGATAAATCACTTATCTGTCTTTCAGGTTTCTGGTATGTAAAATGTCAATAACTATAGGCTGATACTCGGGTTCAAGATGATATTTGCAAAAGGCCAATTGTGACTTCTGCCACATTCAGTGAGAGATAAGTACCATCATCATAGCATAAATCAAAGGGAAAAGAGTTCAAAATGAATTATAATAATAACTGGATTCTACGGTTTACAAAACCTTTTCAGTATATGGAAGGAGGATAAGAGAGAAAGACTGAATATTAAGGACTTAATAACTGCCTTTGAATTTGATGTTAAATAGTAGAGGTGATAAACATTACCAGTGAAATCTACCTGATGACTTTATATCCATACTCAGGTACTAAGGATCCAAGTGTAACCGACTGTGACTAGTAATAATCATATACATAGAGATTAAAGACACATGTGCGAACGTGTTAGTAGCATCAAAAATGTAGGAAACAGCATATCTTAAAATGAAATGGCACTTTTAATCCCAGCACTCGGGAGGCAGAGGCAGGCAAATTGTTGTGAGTTCAAGACCAGCTTGGTCTACATAGTAAGTTCAGGTCACCTGGGACTACAGTGAGACCCTGTCTCAAAGAGATGAAAGAGATGTTATCTTTGCTTTGGAAATTGTTATTGAATATGTTAAAGCTGTAATGACATGCTTCTTCTAATCATGTGGTTGTTAAATTTTTTTAAAACTTTTGAAAAATAAACTTAAATAAAAGAGAAGATAACACAAGGTATTGCCACAGCTCTTGATTACCTCCAAGAACTTGAAGGTAAGACCCTACTGCTGAAGATAGGGCATACTTAGAACATAGGACTTAGAGCAATGGAGCTGGAACTGACCTGGAAGCCTCCTCCCTGAAGATGAGCTCACATAGTTCTAGAGGCTACTATGCAAGCTGCTAAAGGAGAACATCAATCAATGGTCCCACATCCATGCCTCCCCCTATGCACTTCCACAATGGCTCCTGAGCCATGGGTGGATGAGGTTCCATATAGGAGTCCCATCCTACACTCTGCAGTCTCTTATTCTCCAAAACTTGGCCAGTTGAGGCCCTCTGTGTGCATCTCACTCTGATGTACATGGAAGCCTCACTGGAGAGAGTTGAGGGGTGCATTAACCCTCTCTCTACCCCTTATTCTGCTATGTTCCATGAGCCTTAGTTGTAGAGATTCAATTGCAGATGTGTCGCATAGTACTGGGCATCTCCAGACCTATGTTCTCTGTGCCTGACCAGGTGTTCAACTCTGCAGTAGCCTCCATCTCTTGTAAAAGAAGCTTCTTCGATGAGTGCTGTATGGCATGCTTGTTACTCAAAGGGAGGTCTCTACCTGGCACTGTGTTCCCTTCCAAGCAGCTCCCAGGTATACATACGCATTAATGTTCAGACACTCTATGTGCATTTCCCATAGGGTTTCTAGTTTCCTAGCACCCCAAAACTCACTCATCTCCACTCTTTTAACTTCATCTAGTCTACTGAATGAAATCCTTGTCACTTTATCTGTGGAAGGAAATGGACTATGAGTGAAAAGTATTGGAAGATTATCTCTGTTTCCATTAATTGAAATAATCATCGGTTACCTTAAGTTGGCTCCCCTTGACACATAGTGTTTCTCAGCCTGGGAAGATGTGACTGTTGACAACAAATTCACAGTTATAGCTTTTCATGCCAGCAAGGTGTCTAAGGTACCCTTTCTTCACAAACTTATGGCCTCACAAATGTTGCAGTCCATCTCAACTCAGGTTCAGATTTGGGGAAAGAAGTTTCAGTAAGACCTGACTAAAAACAGGGAGTGGTGGCTCTTTACTTTTTACCCCTAAGCTCTTTACTCATATTTCTTGCTAAAGGAATATCAACTCTTTTGGATGATATGATTCAAAGTAAACATACTAATAACAAGTCATGATTTGTCTAAAGTGGGTACATGATACCATTCTAAGCAATGAAATATAAGGTATATACAGTTGGGGGCAGGGTTCTTGTGGGAAAGATTATCCTGGTGCTGAAAGAGAAAAGTGCTCTGGTTTGGACTTCCTATCACTTCCTTTCTTCCCTTTCTTGAAAATATATGCGAGGGTATGATTCTTGACGAATGGGGATTGTGTGGACCAGCAGGAAAGGGAGCATCTCTAGCTTTAGTGAATGAGTCTTGCTCAGTGAAGGGCCAGTGGGCATGGTGGGGGGGTTGGAATCATGCCTCATGCTCTCCTTGGCAGAGACAAGTTTCCCAATGCATGTTTCCGTAACCTAAATGGAAACAAGATTTGGGTGTCTTTTCTAGATCTCAATTTTTTTGTTATTTTCTCTTCTGAACATATTAACCTTACTGAAGCATTCTATTTCACCAATATTGTTGAGTACCTACATAAGAAAATTGATTTAGTTAAGATAGGCTTTTTATAACAATAAACAATAACATTTTCAGTGATCCGTTTCTGCCTTTCTCATGTCTGTGACAAATATTTTAAAATGAAAAATAAAACAAGTTACAGCAATCGTTAGAAAATAAATTTAAATAGCAGATACAGTCTTTTATTAGATTCTGTATATAATTATGACATGATTTTAAAAATAAGCATCAGTATACAAAAAGAAGTAATTTCTACTTTTTAGCTATGCTAAGGCGTTTTTACAAAAGAAGAAAAAATGTGTTATAATTGGTAGTAACGCTGAAGTAACTGATAGATGGATTTTAATAAAACATAGCACCTGCAAAAAGAAGGATCTAGGTAATTATTAAGCCATCACAGCAATGCAATATTTTATTTTCATGACCTATTGTCTAGCTTTAAAAAGAATAAAAATTTTGGCCAGTGAAATGGATCAACCCTTCAAGGTACCTGCTGCCAAAACCTGAGCTCAATCCCTGCAACCCACAGAGTGGAAAGAGAGAACTGACTCTCCCAAGTTGTTCTCTAAGCTTTACATTCCTACACACACACACACACACACACACACACACACACACACACTAAATGTAAAAAACGAAGTGATTCAGTACCAGCAAAATAATCAGTTTATTACTGTGTTCTCATTGGTAGATTCACTCATGGAAAAATTTAATAAATAAAACTTAAGAAGTAATTTTAAATTATAAAGATAATAGTCAAATACAAGAATATATTTCAAATATGAACTAAAACTATACAAAAATATTACAATTCACAATACGAGCCCTCTTTAATTTTTTCTGAGGAAGAATCTTGGAAGGAAAAAAACTGAACAACTGAATTTGAGCCAGAGGAGGAAGTCTCAGTTGTCAAGTTAAGGGATTCAACTTCATATGCCCTGCAAAAGCAGCCCTTGGATATACCATAGCAGCTAACAGTCACTTCCACTCTCTTCAGTTCAATTCCTCCCACACATGAAAAAGTGCTGTGTGCGAAGCCCTATCCTAGGTCCCAAAATGAGATTCAGAAACGAACAAGGCACAGACTACCCTCGGGCTCTGTCTCCTGGAGATATGCTCCTGAACCCAGGCCTTTTTCAAAATGTTTTTCACTTCCAATTAATGTATCAGCATCCATAGTTTGAGGTACAGTGCGGCACTTCAATGCAAATATAAAAATCAGGTGGGGTATTATCTTTATCACTTCAGACATTTATCATTTCTTTGTACTAAGGACATTTATTTAAAATCTTCTCTCCTAACTATTTTGAAGTATGCAGACACCTGTGTGTTCCATAACTCTTGCCAACCATAGTTATCCCAGTGTGCTATAGAACATTAGAAATGATCCCTCTATCCAACTGCACTGTGAAACACATCGTTGTCCCCTCTACCCTTCTCAGGCTCTGATAACTGCTCTTCTATTCTTACTCTATGAGACTGACTTTCCTAGCTTCCATATGAGAGCAAGCATATGTGGGATTTGTATTTGTATGTGTGACTGGGTTCTATCCATTGCTAATGATTGCTAATGATTGATTTTCCTTCTTTATAGTTGCTGAATAATATTCTGTTGTACACCTGTGCATTTTTATTCACTTGCCGAGTGAGCACCTAGGCTGATTCCACATCTTAGCTGTTGTGAATAGTGTTCCAATAAAAATGTGAATACAGATTCCACATGCTGATTTCAGTCCTTTGGGGTTGCTATAGTAGTGCTAGCTGAATCCGAATCTTATAAGTCATTCTTGTGTCTGAGCTGATCTTGTGACCTTTATTGCAAAGGAGCTTTGATTAGCTCATCTCTCATTGCCAGATGGAGGCTTGGCTTTCCACTGTTAACCGTATGTACCACCGGTACAGACACATGCCAATACGCACTGTACATTACTTAGTTGGACCCTTTGAGGTAGCTTCATCCTATGAAACACAGATGGTTCTGAATTTCTTGAACAAAGTTGTGATGTTTGAAAGCAACTTATCATTGAAATATTTGTAGTTTCTAACACCAAGCAAGGAAGCCCAGGGGCTCCTGTTTGGAGCGAGACAAGCTAAGATGAAGCAGTTTTTAATCCTACGCACTCTTTGCTGACTGCTGATCGATGAACAGAGGCTCCGCCTCCCTCTTGTGCCAGTGTGTTCTCTCTGGGGCTCTCATTTCTGAGCCTATTCCAGGCTTGGCCGCCCCTCCTGCTCCCTCCTCAGGGGCAGAGACATGGCTTAGGTAGCTGAGTTGACTCTT